TAAAAGAGTCAGATATTTTTCTTAAGCTGGTGTGTCCCGCACCTCATCATTTACAAAATTGAAGGGCAACTCACAAAAAACCAAAAAACTTGCAACCTTATGGTGAGTAGTTGCCGACCCCATTATGCTGGTGGGCAGTGCCTACATCGCGCATATACATGATGTATGGTCCAATTTAGACCAATGTAGCACAGCAATAATAATATCACATGTGATGTGAGTGACAGATAAGAGTGCTTGCTTGGATTGTTTTTATCATTTTGTGTAATGTGTTTGCTGAGGTAGGGTAGCAGGGTAAGGCAAGGGATTCCAAAGTGAGGGAGGGAGGGTGGTGGGGCCCACTTGGAGGTTCTTTGTCGGGTGGGTTTGGGGAGCACTGCCCTATCCTTCGGCTCTTTTTTTAAAACCAAAGGGATCAAGGACCACACCCACATTTCTCCTTATCCGGTCCTCCTCCCTCTATAAGAACCCCTTAGGCCTAAGCACTTTCAAACCCAACTCACACAATCTCTCAAAGCTGCTCATCACCTGCAGAAGCAACTCACTCGCTCACTCACTGCAGTCAAAAGACAGAAAGAAAGAAAACCCTAATTCTCTGAAATATGAAGATGGGCAGCTCTGGCAGCATGGCAGGCAGCAAGAGAAGGTTGTCTTCGTCGTCAAGCAAAGGACTCGGAGGGGTCCTGCGAGAGCAAAGAGCCAGGCTTTACATCATCAGGAGGTGTGTGGTCATGCTCCTCTGCTGGCATGATTGAAAATATGACATGACGAGAAAGGAGGATTTTGGTTTTTCTTCTTTTATTGTTTTCATCCTAATTTTCCTCCTTTTTCTTGTTCTATCAAGATCTTTGATCTTGTTGGTGGAGTTGTAAATAGCCAGCGGATGTTTTTAGGAGATTTGAAGAAAATTTTGTATGGGGTTTAGCCTTGTGGGGCTTAGATATATATGTACATCGGAATAGCCTAAATATATAAACTTTGATATGATATAACAAGCTAGAGCTCTTAATATTGCATTATTCTTCCTCAGAAGTTTTTATGTATTGATCTTCTTCTCACTTAACAAAACCACTACGTTTTACAATTTGGGAGGGAGTTCCAAGTATAATTAAACATTGAAAAAGGAAAGGGGGTTTCAATTACTAAAGGATTCCATAAAGGTTATGCTCCAATTAAATCTGTCGTATCACTAGTTGGACACGATCAATGAAGATCTCTTTGGAGCAAATACAACCTTGATTTTCTTATTTTCTTTATCCAATTTCAGCTCCAAAGAAGTGATGCGGAGTTCTCAAAGTTTTCTTCCTTTTCAAATGGCTTTGTCATGTTTCCTACTCTGTTGATTAAAAGACGACCTAATGAAACTGGAGCTGTTAAGAAGCAGAAATGTCTTGTGAGTTCTCAGAGTGTTGTTAAAACTGAAATTCAAGGGAAGGAAAGATGTATGAAATGGATCATAATTTAGCATCCGCATTGGAAGTAATAATCATTCATACAAGGCCATTAATCTTGGCCAATGTTTATTTCAGTCGAGTAGATTATTTCTGCCTTTTTGGATTGCATGTCCAAAAAGTGTTTGAGACATACGATAAAAAGCACCAAAATTCATGATTAATGCTTTGACCAAGTCAGTTAGGAACACTTGCAACAACAACAACAACAATAAAACCTTAATGACAAAAATTGACCAAGTCAGCTAAGAACACTTGATGACAAAAAATGTACCTTAAAAAAATCGATTAAGCCTTAATCCCTTGTCATAATTCCCATCTTATATGGTTGTTTTGGAAAGCCAATGATTAACTGAAAAAACAAATGCAATTGCCCCATCACTAATCACTATAATACTATAAGCTCTTGCTATGATCTGCTTGTCTTCAACCAAACAAGCACCAGCATCTCCTAAAAAATGCAATTCCCACCTTGTCTTCAAATAAGCTATTATTTGAGCGAGCATCCAAACATGGCCTTGTGAGGAAACTGCTTTTTCGACGTTTAGGTCAAAACCCAAACTCAAAACTAAAGCTCCCTCGAGTCTCTCACTCTCTTTGTGGGCCAGTTGAATTATTGATCATCTTCAAATCATTTCTTCCTAATTCATCAAGTTCGAGAATAAGAAATTCGGATATTCGGACCATTGAAATTTAATCCAATAGCTAAAGTTATTATAACTTTTAAAGTGGGCCCCTATTTGTAGCAGTTTGATCAAATTTTAATGGTTCGGATTCCGAATTTGATGGATTAGGAGGAAGGGATTCAAAAAGTATCCCTTTTCGAAATATTGGATCCCAACTCATGTTCACGTGTGCCACGTGGACGGTTACGATGGGCCTACCCCAAACAGTATTCCCTTTTGTCTCTTCTTTCCTTATGAAGGAAGGAGCAGGGGAAGGGTTAAAAGTAAGTCCAGGCAGTTCCACCTTTTGGAATCATAAATCAGCACATATACTCTCTAGTATACCATAATACACTGCACCCCAACGTAAAATGCGGACACCTGTCACTAACACTAGAGTCGGTGAATAACAACCCGAAACGTGGACTTCTGATTGATATTTTTTTTCATTTTTGGTTTCTTGTTTTAGAGGAGAGAAGCGTGGGTCAAAAAGTCAGACGTACAGGAGCCGAATAATGCAATCTAATATTCTGTTGTCGGCCACACAGGAGAGTGCCACCTATCTGTCTTACTCTTTGAAATTTACCTCAACATAAAATTTGACTGCAACGGTATTCTAATTCAATTATGTATTATCATGCGTTTAAACTTGTTCATATAACAGTGTGGAGTTAACTCATTTCTCACTGCATAAAGGGGATTCTAATGTTCGGAAAATCTTTTGTTGCAAGAAAGCCGATTTCCTCTCGTCGAGAGCTCTCGAGCTTTCTTCTCCGTTGGGCTCACTCGGGTGGAATGACTCAATCAGTAGTGACTGATTGAGTAAGAAAACTCAAAGCCGCGCTCGACAGAGAGTTGGGCGCGAATTGATTGGTTGAAAACGGCACCCTTATCATGCCCACGTGCGCCTCCCTAATCTTCAACCCCACCAATATAACGTACGATTCTATTCTAATCAAACATGGGGCCCACACGTTGTCCCCACATGGCACATCCTCTGTCTTCCTCAGTTTCCTCCAATAATGTTAGGCATAGAAAGTGCAGATGTTACATCATGGACATGGCCGGATGTATATTGGGACTCAGGTGGTCCCAAGACCATTTAAAATTTGAAAAATATACATGTGACAATTTTTCAAGGACTTTCTGAATCTTTGGTAAGAGTCTCATTTGCACGTCACGAGTTTTGTTTTTATTTGAAAACCTTGTTCTTTAACATTAGGACTCACCAAAATTCGAATTCTCGACCTGCCGTTGATCATGGACATCAACATCTCAAGTATAATGAATAAGGTGTCGTTTCATCATCCATGTAAGATGATGATGGGACATTCTCCAAACGCATTTGCCAATTAGCTGGTTTTTGCTTTACGATTATTGATTGTTGGTTGATTTCAAAATGCTCAATCGGTTTGAAATGACTAAAAACACTTTTCAGTCACAAAAAATGCTTATAGCATCGATAAATAAACTTAGAAGTGTTAACTGGTCATATAAGTACTTTATAAAACAGACCAACTACGAACACAAGTACTTGGCTAGGATGTTAATTATGATATTTAATCCAATCTTATTGTGTTAGGGTTGTCTCTAATTCTTAGGGATTCTTGGAAAAAAGATGGGTCATGCCCCATGTTGTCTCCTCATGTTACAAGGTGGTAGCTTATGTGTTAATAATATAAGATTTAGGATACAACATTGTGCTGCCTACCAACAAAACAAGGTTGCTAAATCTTCTCTCTAAAAACCCTAACTGCAGAGCATATAGCATATATGTATATGTTCTTAGCCGTTAAGGTCAATTGATCACAATCATTTGCATCGTTCTTAATATTTTAATCCACCAATTTCTAAACCCTACATAAATAGGGTTACCAATAAAAAAAAATTGAGTTTTCACGGCAGTGGTGGATCTAGCATTCGAATCTTGAGTGGTCTCACTATTAAGGGTTCAAGTTTTTGAGATAGAAATAGAGTGCGAAGTGCGAAAAAAAAATTCAATTTATTCACTGAGACATTTCGTTGAACATTTGATGAATAATATCGTGAGAATTTGTCGAGTGTTGTTCACGCAAACTATCGAGATATGCCTAGGAAGTATTACATCAAATACTTAGTAGGTACAAAGGGGCCCGTACAAAACATTTGTAGGGTCATCGGAAGACTTTCACATGTATATTTTCTGAACTCCGGGAGGTCCTGGACCACTTAGGTCCAAGTGTGTATCCGCCTCTGTTTCACATTGCATCATGTCTTTAAGAAAGACAAGACGCCATGCACAGAGCCGAACAATCCGTAGGCTCATTGTTCAGTTCTTTTTCTCGAGCCAAAAAAAGCCATGGTGCTGTGGTCCTCCTTGTCTACCTTATAATAGCCCCATCAAGGCATCTAAAGATAAAAAGAAGACCAATTGCATTTGCCAAGGGAGAAAAGCATTAGGCATGTCTTGCTAATACAACAAAGGGGTGCCCTACTATCCAACTAGGTCACTTGCCCTACAACATGCTACAAGGGCACCAGCAGAAGCCGCTTTTCTAGGTTAGGTCTGAATCTGGCTTCCCCACAAGCAATATCATATGCTGCTCATCAACAAGCACTTTTACCTCAAAAGTGCTTAATTTCACAGCGAGGTTGGGCCCAGTGGTCTCTCAAGCAATTTTCAAAGACAACTTGCATGACCTACGCAGCCCTGAAAGTTCATGAATGATTTCATGGTCCAACCAGTTCTCATTTGATTACATGTGAAAAACTCATCAGTGTTTTCCTCGGCGTTGACAAAGCATCGAGTTTCCAATAATTTGATGGTCCACACGTCTCTTGGCTAGTTGAATTCGTTTTAATACGGATGCTAAGCTTTAAAATCCAAATACAAACGCAAACCAGATAAACAACAGCATTTTAGCTTGATTATAAACAGAGAACAAAACGAGTAAGTTCGATCGATGTGAGAATTTCAGTTCACAAACAGTACTTTACAACCAGGTCTCACAGTTCATTCTGTTTTCAGCAAAAAGTTGGATATCACGCTGAGCTGATTTGATAGGTGAAGATTAATCAAAATGTAGCCACAAAATATTTACCACCATGAAACCATGACCAACACTAGAAATCCTGAACCATGTTCAGTCAGCCACCTTGCCACCCCAAGAAAGGAAACTTTCCTGTGACCCGAATTCCTACAATGCACGATTCAGAAAAGCGTTAGCATAAAGGAAAATGCAAACAAAACAAAAAGAAATGACTAAACCAACAAGAAGCAAGACAAGAAGATTTACCAGCTGGCTAAGTCGGAAATCTGGAGGTGTATCGAGTTCCAAAATATTAGCAGGATCGAGGACAAGATTTTGACAAGCCTCTAGATCCCTCTTTAAATCCTCTGGTCCTAGTTTAGCATAATCAGCAAGACGGGGTTTGATGTGTGCTTGTTCACCATTTTCAAGTCCACCCCTAGTTGGAGATTGGCTCTGAAGGAGATCATCACACAGAGACAACCCTTCCACAAGTTGTTGCGAATCCAGAAGATTCTGTGACTCACTGTCCCACCATTTTGGATCTTCCTGAGCAATGTTTTCAGTGTTATTAATTACTTCATCGGCTTGATTTTCTAACTTGTGTTGGTCATAATCGTCAGGCATTTCAGATTCAGGACAAACATCATCTTCAGCACAGTCCACCTCTGGATGAATTTCATCTAAAGCACGGTCCACCTCAAAATGAACTTCATCCTCATCTTCAGCACCATCCTCCACACGATACTTCAATTGAATACAGAAGCCATAAAAAAATGCCCATATCAGTATCTCTCTGGATCATTCACATTAATGCCACATTCTTATACCACATTAATGGAAAACAACAGGGAGAGAATGTGCAAGAAAGTATGCATTAGGCCAGGAATATAATGCAAGCAGTATAAATTTAAAATTTTCAATTTGAATATGTTTGTATCACAAGGAATAAAAATGTCTTCTTGTGCTGCTTGTAGAAATTTGTAAGTAAACTAAAATTCAAATTAAGAAAACAAATTATACCTGAAGAAAGGGATCTCTGGAAGGAGCAGGAGTATCCAATCCCAAATCAAAATCACCAAGCTTTCGTTCAGCGCGCGGAGGTTCAGGAGTAACCAACTTGGGAGTGACTGGATCTACCTTGGTGATCACCGCATCAATACTTTCAGGAACATCTTGATCAGTTTTATCAGCTTCCTTACCTTCCTGCTGCTGATAATATATTTTAGATATAACATACTCTCCATCCTTCTCATCCTCCTCAACGCCTAGGTGATATTGATGCATAACCCAATTGGTTTTCACAGGTTTTTCTCCTCTGACCGTGCTCATGTATAGAACCATAATCTTCTTACACCCTCTTTGCACCCCATCCAAGATCACTGGTTTAGTCCTTCCAGTCTTGTGCCAGCGGACATCACCATCACCATCATGTATCTTTCGACGCTTTCGTGTTCCAGTATTGTAAGCCTTAATTGCTCTATGAAAGAAGTGGGATGCACTTCCATCTAGCTTAACACCTAACATTTAATTTTAAATCAATTAATAAAAGATTAAGGGTCAAAGTTTTAAAACAAAACAAATGTTTCGTACTTACTAGGTAGTTTCCTAGGATGGGAACAACAGATTCCTTCATCGTCGTCAACAGTTAGAATAAACTCATCAATAAAAGGATGGGGTTTTCGATCACCTACACCAGATTTTGCAATTAAGTGCCATATAATCTCTTGATCAGTTGGATCAAATTTTACACCCTTGGGTAAACCTGGCCACTCTTGAGCAACCTGGAAAGAGATGGCAAAAAACACCCTAATTTTCAAAGTTCTTCAATTTTCATTAATAATAAATGAAACAATAACGTGAAACAAACTTCATTAAAATAATTTCCAACAGAGCTTCTCTAACTGATGGCTTTTCATTGATGAACATTCAACTTTAAACATATGGATAAAAAAAATAAAAACAAAAATCTTACGTCACTATTGTCAATCGTATGCTGGCATTTTGGACAAGCTTTAGTTGGGTTGCTTTGCCATATAATCACATTAGGATCATATCTGCCAGATGCACTCTTGATTTTTGTTGCGATTCTATTTTTGTCAACCAACCACGATGGCCTGCATATCTTACACAAATGATTATACTTGAAGCAATCAGCTGCTCCAACATATGTTCAGCAAAGTATTTAAACTCTTGATCTAGGTTAATTAGAATAGATATTTTAGGTTGGAAGGACACTGAAAAGATACATAAAGATATAATCAGCAGCACGGAGATTATTCAGAAGAAACAGCATAATTAAAAAGATTAACCCATTCAGAAGAAACATCATATAACGGCCAGTAACAGATCTAAACTATGAAGTTATGAACTGTTACTATCATCATATACATATAAACAAATGGAATGACCCAAAATTTGACTAGAGAAACGAAAAATAATGTTAGAACATATATGACAACTTGCAAAGACATAATCTTTTGTTGCCGAAACACACTTCTAAAGCCCGAATTAGAGGTAGAGGGATACAAACACATAAACCATTTTAAAACACGCGCTCGCATAGGTGAGTCATTCTAAACTGTGAATATAAGTGAGCTGACAATTGAAGATAAAGACATCGAAAGCCAACTACCGCATTAGCTTATCAGCATGATAATAACAAAAATCAGACCGATGAATGACTTGATGAGAACACAGGGAAATGGATTACACAACATTATGAATCCTCCTCAACCTTCCCACCTAAATATACTAAAGGGTACAAGCGGAAGTGGGTGTAGCCACATTGGCTAGAATGCATGTACTCCCCTATGCACCTGAGTTTGAATTCCCACTCCCGCACTTAAGATTAGTTTAAAGTATAATATCGCTTGTATATCGAAAAACGCGTGCAATTTAAAAAGAAAAATAGAAAGTAAAGGAAAAATAATATGAATCTAAAGTGAAGATTCAGCACAGCTCTCAACTAAATCAAAGTAGTTTCCACTTGTAAAGCTTAAGCACTACCATTTTATTAAAGTTGAAATTTTTCATGGTACACTCGCTCAAATGAACAGAAGGGTTACTTCAAAATCTCGAACAAACATATAAATCCAAACAATGTCAATAAAATCCCAGAAAAATCCATGACATATTTATAGAAGCATCAATATACACACACAAAAATTGAAAGAAAAAAAAAAACATAGATAAAAGTCATCGGAAAATACCCAGCCATGGATGAGCGGCGACGATCAAGAGCCCAACTTAGAGGCAAAGCTTCCGTCTTGGAAGACCGCCGCAGACTCGCTTTTTCTCTCTCTCGCGCTCCGCTTCGTCTGCTTCGACACTGAGACCGATTGACGCCTAAAGGACTTGGGGTTTTTATATTTAATTCTACTTTGTTTTTCAATTTACTATTTTAATTTGCAAAAATAAGAAAAAGTAAGGACTAATATTATATATTTTTTTAAATATTGCTTTTGAATTTTGAAACCGCGGGTACTGTTTCTTAAACAATATTGTATTATATTTTTGTTTTAAAAAATTGATGTTAATTTAACAGTCGGATCAATAAAAAGGCTAAAATGTAAAAATTCTAAACATAAAGTGTCGATTTTTGAAAAGTCAAAACCCAGAATATTTCTAAAATTATATTTGGGCCCCGGTAGAATGACTGGACCGGGCAGTAGTGAATAGTAAAGTGTCAATTCGGCCAATTCCTTTCCCAGTTTTCCCCAAATTTCCCACTCTCTTCTCCGTTCGAATACTGCAATCCCTAAACCCGCTACCGCCACCATGAGCAGCAGAGCCAGAAACTTCCGCCGCCGCGCCGACGACGATGATGATCAAAACGACGACGCAACCCCCTCAACGGCAACCACCGTCAAATCCTCGTCAAAACCTTCTTCTGCATCCTCCTCAAAGCCTAAGAAGCCACAGAATCAAGGCCCGAAGCTCCTCAGCTTTGTCGACGACGAAGAAAACGCCGCCGCGCCGTCCCGCTCCGCGCCATCTTCCAAACGCGATAAGCCCTCTTCTCGTCTGGGCAAGCCCTCTTCAGCTCATAAGTTGACGGCTCTCAAAGACCGTCTCGCTCATTCGTCTTCCGTATCGACTTCTCTGCCTTCCAACGTTCAGCCCCAAGCCGGAACCTACACGAAAGAAGCGCTCCGTGAGCTGCAGAAGAACACGCGAACCCTAGCCAGCTCCCGACCCTCCTCCGAACCCACCATTGTTCTGAAGGGCCTTATCAAACCCACCGATTCAATCTCCGATACGCTGAGAGAAGCCCGGGAGTTGGATTCTGATTCCGACGAGAAGCATGAGAAGGAAAGGGGTAATTTGTTTAGGAGGGACAAGGACGAAGCAGAGGCCCAATTGGCCTCGATGAGAATTGACAAGGGCAAGAGATCACCTGGGTTGTTTCCTGATCAAGCCACCATAGATGCCATTCGGGCCAAGAGGGAACGGCTCAGGAAATCGAGGGCAGCGGCTCCGGACTTTATCTCATTGGATTCAGGGAGTAATCATGGCGCTGCAGAAGGGTTGAGCGATGAGGAGCCAGAGTTTCGAGGTCGAATTGCAATGTTTGGGGATAAGATGGACGTTTCTAAAAAGGGGGTTTTTGAGGATGTTGATGATAGGGTAGTGGATGCTGTATTGAGGCAGGAAAGCGTTGAACGGGATGAGGAAGAAGATGAGGATGAGGAAGATAAGATTTGGGAAGAAGAGCAGTTTAGGAAAGGGTTGGGGAAGAGGGTGGATGATGGGGTGGTCAGCACTAGTGCTCCTGCAATTCCGAGTGTGCCCCAACCAAAGACTACTTACTCTGCAATGACGGGTTATGGTTTGTCAGAGAGTATGCCTCTTGGGACAAGTATAGGAGGGGCAATTGGAGCATCACAAGGTTCAAATGTGATGTCCATAAAGGAGCAGGCGGACATTGCTAGAAAAGCTTTGGAAGAAAATTTCACGAAGCTTAAGGTATGAATTGTTGCTTTTCTGGTCAAGTTGAATTTTATATCGAAATCTGTCGTAGGATGAATAATTGAGTGAAATATTGGCTTCTAGTAATGTGGTCGTGTATGTTGCTCTTAACTTTAGTTTCAGCTCACTAGTTATGGTTTTAATGCATGGATAGAATAACATTTTGTTACTTTCCAACAGCTTTTTGTGGCATTACTGCATTTGACAATAAGAACAAATGTAAACCATAGAATACATACTTGAATATATGGGCCATACGTTTGGAAACCAAAACTCTCCCAATGTGAGGAGGTGCATTGCTGCTGACATGATATATGTACATTGGATTATTTTCTGCTTTTATAGCATATTCATATATAATTATGTACTCAAATATGTTTTGATCTCTCAGGCAAGTCATGGAAGAACCATGTTGTCACTAACTAAGACTGACGAAAATTTGTCGGCCTCGCTGTTGAATATTACTGCTCTCGAGAAGTCTCTGTCTGCTGCTGATGAGAAGTACCAGTTCATGCAAAAGCTTCGCGATTTTGTCTCTGCCATATGTGACTTTTTGCAGGTATGCTAGCGTAAAATAAACCCAGAATTTTTCTTTTGCGTCCCCTCTCTGTCTATAGAGATGCAGATAAGAATAATTTCATAGGAGTACAGATGAGGGGAGAATGGAAACTAACAGGGCCATTTGTCTGAAATGATTGTTATATTATTTTCTCCCTGTGAGATGAGCACTTCCGTCCACGTTTTACGAGTTATACATTCGATCATTTAGCACTGTATGAACAGTTCATAGACTGATTAATTTCTTCTGATACCAAAATGGAATGCCAACTGGAGGGCATTTCATTTAGGATTCTGCTAGAACCAAGGACTTTAAACTGTTGCAGAATGCAATGCGCCTGAGTTTTCAAGCTACCTGGCAGTATAGATGAATCATTGGCTCTTCATTACATTTGCACATGATACACATTATAATTCACTCTCTTGCTGAGGACTTATCGCCAAAAAGTAGGATACTGTAGGAGGGATTTGAAATGGCCATAACTTCCCATTGTTAATATCAAAAGGGATTAATTTCTAGTTTCGTGTTCTTATATAAAAATGTAGACTTACCTGTTCTTGCCCTAGGACCCATGGCTGAGAGAGTTAACACTGCTTCTTGAAAGGGAAACTGGCAGTGGCCCTTCCCAGATTAGCATTATCCTTGGAAATTCAAGCAAAGTTGAGGCAACCACACAAATGATTGATTAATATTCCACTGTAGCAACCACATTTTAACTCTCATAGGAACAGTTTAACTGTATGGAATGAAGGCCTCTAACTCAACATTGGTTACTGATATTCTATTGGCTTGTCCTTACTGTGTTTAACTGTTTATTTCATTTTCTAAAAAAACATATTTTTGCGACGTGCATTAGGACTTCTAGTATCTACTTGATGCATCTTCTTCTATTTCCAATTTTTCAATCCCGGTAAGAGCAACATATCATGCTGATCTGAACTTATGTATTCCTGTAATTTTTCATTTTCAGGTTAAAGCTCCCTATATAGAAGAGCTTGAAGCGGAAATGCAGAAAGTTCATGAACAACGTGCCTCATCTAATATGGAAAGGAGAAGTGCCGATGATGATGAAATGATGGAAGTAGAAGCAGCTGTAAAAGCAGCAATGTCTATCATCAGTAAAGAAGGTAGCAGTGCTGAAATAATTGCAGCTGCTAAAAGTGCAGCACAAGCTGCATCTACTGCTGTGAGAGAACAAACTAATCTACCAGTGAAGTTAGATGAATTTGGTAGAGATATGAACCTTAAGAAACGTATGGATATGAAAGGGAGGTATGAGGCTCGACAACGCAGGAAAAGGTGTGAATCTAAGAGACTGTCAGCCATGGATGTGGACAGTTCCCATCGAACAATAGAAGGAGAATCAAGCACCGATGAGAGTGACAGTGAGAGTCAAGTATACCACAGACACCGCCAGTTGGTGCTCGACACTGCAGGTAAAGTATTCGATGATGCAGCAGAGGAATATTCTCAACTTTCAGTGATCAAAGGAAGGTTTGAAGACTGGAAGAGAGAGTATGCATCAAGCTACCGTGATGCTTACATGTCTTTAAGTGTTCCTACTATCTTCTCTCCATATGTGAGACTGGAGCTTTTGAAGTGGGACCCCCTCCGTGATAAAACAGATTTTCTAAACATGAACTGGTACTTGTTCATAAATTCTCAGTTTTTTATTTATTTCACACCTCTAGAAAGAACACTGAAGCACACAGAAGTAGTGCTGCTCACTTACTTCCATCCTTCCATTAATATTCTTTTCTTCTGTTCAGGCATTCATTGTTAATGGACTATGGTTTATTGGAGGATGGAAATGATTTGGCATCAGATGATGCTGATGCTGATGCTAACCTTGTTCCTGATCTGGTGGAAAAGGTTGCTTTACCCATTTTGCATCACCAAGTTGCTCACTGTTGGAACATTCTCAGTACGAGAGAGACCAAGAATGCAGTTGCTGCCACAAGTTTGGTAACAGATTATGTTCCACCTTCTAGTGAAGCTCTTGCTGATTTATTAGTTGCTGTTCGCACCCGTCTGGCTGATGCGGTCACTAATCTTACGGTACAACTTTTGAATTATCAAACTAAAGTTTTAAGACATTTAATCAGGCATATGCATGGATGTGTTTTAAATATTTATGCATTAGGGTGGTGCTATCCACACACCCCTCTCAATTTCCAGCCGTCGGATGGAATGAATTGAAGAGTACAAGGACAAAAATTAACAGGTGGTGTGTGGAAGGTAAAAAAGGGTGTGGATAGCATTACTCATGCATTGAGCATGTACATTTTATGTAAGTGATCTAATTTATATTTTCCTTCCCTACCTGTCCGCTCTAGATTCTAAGTCGGAGAAACTATGAACCATGAGCTTACACTGGCCTGATATTGATTAATTTTGATTATTTCCAATGTATAGGTCCCAACATGGAGCCCACTTGTATTGACAGCAGTGCCAGATGCAGCACGGCTGGCAGCATATCGATTCGGTATGTCTGTTCGTTTGATGAAAAATATCTGCTTGTGGAAAGAAATCCTTGCTTCTCCCATTTTAGAGAAGCTTGCTATTGAGGAGCTGTTGTGTGGTAAAGTTCTACCTCATGTTCGAAGCATTGCTGCAAATGTTCATGATGCTGTTACAAGAACTGAAAGGATTGTTGCTTCTCTATCTGGGGTGTGGGCAGGCTCAAATGTCACAGGGGACAGCAGGTAGTGCTTCTGCTAACACAGATTAATTCCATGCGTGAGCGTGCTTATTATATGTGTGCATGTTAAGTAGGATAGTATGATTTTGAAATAGTTACATCTACGTCACGTGTCTGTGATACATACTTGAGTTCAACTAATGATATGAAGGA